AATATGCGTTTTGGTGGTTTTGGCGGAAAATATGATTTTCTGATTTTGGTAAAAAAAAATCTCGATTTTGGTGAGAAAATATTATTCTCGTGTTTTGGTGGGAAATTACGACTTTGTAGTGTTGACGTAAAACTATAAATTTTGGGGTTTTTGGAGAATAGGTGTTTCCGTGGTTTTAATGAGTAGATGTGTTTTTTCACTTGTGGCCAGAAAATATGATTTTAGAGAAAAATGATTCTATGGTTTTGAAGGATAATTTATATATTGCTTGATTATTTATTATCTTAAATACGTTATTAGGATAAAGATAATTTTGTCATTTTCTAATAGGTTTATCTCCGTTCAGATGCAACAATTAGATTCATTTGAATAGATCATTTTGATGATAATTATTTTAACATCAAATTAATATATTCAAAATAAAATTTCATAAAAATACCCAACTAAATTTCGTTAAGCTTTTTAATACCAAAATATTTTGCTACCCAGTTTAATATCCCAACTAATTATTTTGTCCATTTTAATGCATAAACTTTTATAACTGTGTCCATTTACAAGTTTCCAAGAAAATTTTAAAAATCTCTTAACTTTACAGAAAATTTCAATTTTATTTTGTGTTTGAGAAATAAAAGTAAATAAATTTTGTATAATCTTAAGTTTTGTAATATATTTTTTTTTTAATTTTAAATATTGAATTTAGTTTGTTTTATGAAATAAAAAAGTAAATTAATTTGTTTTTCATAAAAAATATTTTTTAAAAACTTTTGAATTTTCTCCAGAGTTTATTTGCCTTCGCTCTTAAATCTTCAAGTAACATTAGAAATTTAAATATTTTTCTTAGATTTTGGAGATTTAAAAAAAATAATAATTTGAAACTTATTAATATTGTTAGGGGTGACGATCTATTTCCCCCTGAGAAGTATCATATATCACTAGATACACACAGAATTTTGACCACGTTCTATTTCCCCACATAATAGAAGTTCGAGGTCTATATCCCCACAATTAAAAAGATCGAACTCTATTTCCCCATACCGTCGACTTTAATGGTTTACTTAGATGAACCAGTATAGGACCAAAATAAACCGATTTTAAACATAACCAAACCCACTCGAAAACCCGATCTTCACCCGAATCTTGTCTTTAAAAACCCGAGCTCATAGAACAAGTAAAGTAACGAACCCTAAAAAATTGAATTGGGGAAATTGATTTCTGGGAGAGATTAGAGAAATTGAAACATGAGTGATGTTTCTGGAGCTTCAAGTGGGTCGTCAATGGTGCATTCAAGGAGAAGGGTCGTTGGTGTCCCAAAACAGTGTTGGTGTGGATATGAAATTTCGACTTTGATGTCAAGATCTGAGAAAAATCCGTATCGTCGTTACCATAGGTGTTCTTACGCTGTTTCAAAAAAGGTAATGGTTACTCTTATTGATTTGATTGTGCAATAACTCAGATTCTAACTTGATCAATTTTAGCTTGAGAATGATAACCATTTCTTCAAGTGGGTGGATGAGGCATTGTCAGAGGAGATTAATGTTCTGAAGAACAAAATGAGTAATCTTGAAGAATTGGTGGAAAAATTTATGATGGAACGAGCAGAAGGTGAGAAGAAGTTGTTTGAGAAGATGGAAATGAAGCTAGAGAAAGAGCTTTTTGAGAGGACGGATGAAGTGTTAATGGAAGCGAAATGGAGCATGAAGAAGATGTGTGCTGGTGTTGTAATAGCTTGTATTGTTGGGTTTGTCATCATTAAGCTTGTGTGATGGATTCAATTCGATAATATGTTGTTTAGTGCTATGAAGTAGTATGTTCTTGTACTTGACTTGTGATGTTGTTTAATGAAATTGTTGGTATTTTCATACATGAGAATAATACTAAAACAAGATGACAACACAAACAAATCCGATAAAAATTCATGATTGTAACCTACAAACATTCTTGTTCATACATAAGAAATAAAACACCAAGCATTCTTGTTCATTAAAAATGACAACAACAAAATAAACCGACAAAGAGAGAAGACACAACCCAAAAAATACTTCTTGCTCTTCCTCTCCTATTCTAGTCACCGATAGATGTCATCAAGCTTGAGAGGATTCACCTTGTGATGGTTCAGTTTGTTGATCCTATAATGATTTAAAAAAATAAATTGTTTTAGACATTGTGAACCATATAGAGGATATAAATAAGCAATCATACCTTCTTATGAAAACGAATATTGTGGTTAGACGAACCACATTTACTACAATGCATAGTGCGCTTCAACGCCTTCGGTTTCTTCTTAACAGGAGACTCATTCTTGCCCTTTTTTCCTTTTGTTGTCTTTCTTCTTTTTGCGACCAGGCTGGTCTGGCTCAGGAGCTGGATGCACTTCAGGAGCTTCCGAAGTTGGCCAGAATCGTGCTCCTCTCATTGGTGTTATGCCCTCTTCGTATGTCTTCCTCCACGTGGTCGTCCGAAACCAGTGACACACAAAATCCTCAGCATCTAATTTTCTACTCATCAAGACACCATATCCATGTTCACAAGGGATCCCAGTGATATCCCACTTCATACACGTGCATGTTCGATTCTCCAAATTGACACGGTAAGAACATGAGTCAACATTCACCAACCACATACCATTTGTGCTTCTATAAACACTACACTCAGATGCTTTTTTGTGCTCCAAAGCGAGTATATCAACCACGTAAGGTGTGCATATGCTTTTGTGGTCTTCAGCGATCAAATCTCTTGAAGCTATACGCACCATTGCAAGACGTGCAATGGTATCCAACATCGGTATAAGAGGCTTTTCACGGGCACAAACTATGGAGGAGTTGAAAGATTCGGTTGAGTTGTTCTCAACATCCTCACAATAGTTCCCCAACCTGTAGAAAGCTCTAACCCAAGTCATTGGATTAGTCTTCATCACATCTCTATACACCTCTGAGTCGTAGTTGAACAGCCTATCTAGATTCTCCTTGTACTCCGCCTCATTGTAGCTCCAAGCAAGACGCCAAATATACTTCTTCAAGTCACTCTTTTTTCCATGTTTACTTTTTATGTTTCCGTAAATGTGTCTAACACACATTCGATGCTCCATCTTCGGAAGCTCCAACTGAACTGCCTTGATCAGTCCCTGAAACCAACCACACACAAACATAAGAAAAAAAAATTTAGAAAAAAATTACACGACAACCATTAAGCTTACCTTCTGACGATCGGAGACCATAATATATCCATCACCATCTTCTAAACCCAAGTCTTCCTTGATATGCTTCACAAACCACACCCAATTTGGAGTGTTTTCCACTTGAACAACTGCCCAAGCAATGGGGTAGATTGCATTATCCGCATCTCGACCAAGAGCCACTAACAATTGTCCTTTAGTTTTCCCTCGTAAGAATGTGCCATCCATCCCAATAAGAGGTCTACATGTAGCTTTCCATGATCTCCTAAGGACATCGAAACACACATAGAAACGATCAAATACATCTTTTCCTTCCTCATTTCTTTTCGTCTCGACTTCCACCGAAGAGTTGATATTTGACTCGATAATCTCGGCAGCATAGTCTCGGATTCGACCAAACTGAGTATCATACTCCTTCTCAATCCACCTCAATGCTTTATTTCGGGCAGCTTGACATTGTCCTCTGGAAACCGTGATCTTCCACCTATCCTTGATCAGTTCTTCTATCTTCATTGGCATGAAATATTTTGGCTCTTCTCTTATCTTATTAACAAACAAACGAGCTATCACAGGGACCTTAAACATCTCACATTCTCCATTTGGAACACAGCTGTGTTCATTCTTGTACACTTTAACATACCATCTCTCTGGTTCTCCTTTACTCGAGCAATAAACACGCCACTGACAGTGTGAATCTACATTCCGACCAACACAACTAAAAGCAATTTTGGTTTTGTCATACCTACACTGCTTGATATTGTGACCAGTCTTCAGAGCGTAGTCCAATACTGCCTCTTTGAATGCAACTCCATTGAAGAATACTTGGCCCTCAAAGAGATTCCCATCACCTCTTCTAAAATGATAACGCTCTCTTGTTCTCTGTCGTTTCATGTGTTCCTCTTCACCATCTCTCTCCTCATCTGTATCACTATCACTTTCGCTATCAGGATAGATGTTATGTCGGATGGGTGGTTCGTTGATGAATGCAGCTACCTCTTCTTCAACCCGGAAAGCGTGTCTCTCCATCTCTTCTTCGTCGTCTGATTCATCTCTAAGTAAAGGAATCGTGTTTACACCGACTGTATCCATTGAAATCGAGTGGTAAAGGCTCCGTTTTAGAGAGATATCGATGTCGCCTCTGTTTTTTTTTTCTAGGGTTACGATGAAGAACAATGGGGATTTGGGGATTTAGGCTGGTCGGGTTAGAACCATTAACCGGGTTATAATCGGGTTTTAATCAGGTGTTAATCGGATCTTTTTGGTTAAATCGTGGGTAATGTTGGGTAACAAGAGATTACGGTTTAATGATAAACAGTAAACCGGCGTTAATCCAAACTTATGTGTACTGCGGTTTTTAAAGTCGACGGTATGGGGAAATAGAGTTCGATCTTTTTTATTGTGGGGATATAGACCTCGAACTTCTATTATGTGGGGAAATAGAACGTGATCAAAAGTCTGTGTGTATCTAGTGATATATGATACTTCTCAGGGGAAATAGATCGTCACCCCATATTGTTAATTAAAATAAATAAAGTTTGGATATTAAAATGGAAATAGGTATAAATTTTTTTTATTAAAATGGGTAAAATAATTAGTTGAGGTATTAAACTGGGTACTGAAAAAATTTGTGTATTAAAAAACTTAATGACATTTAGTTAAAGTATTTTTATGGAATTTTCTCTATTTTAAGATTCATTAGAATATATCAATTTGATGATAATTATTTTAACATCAGTTCACATATCAATCCAGATTTATTTAGATGAACAAATGTTCAACATTAAAAACATTTAGGTAGCTCAAGATCATACATAGGTTTTTACATCACTTATCTTCCATTCCCTCCCAGGATCGTATGAGTAACAAACATGGGTATTGATGTGCTCCTTGAATTGGATGCACTAATGGTAGATGATGCTTCCATTGACACTGGCATAAACGCTCCAATACCTGGACTATTCAGCGAGAAATCTGGCAAAAATAGATCCAGGTTTAGGTATTGCACTACTTGTCCCATGGAAGGCCTTGATTCTGGTATCGCATTTGTGCAGAGCAATCCAAGTTTCAGAACCATCTCAATTTCCTTGAATAAGGTTTCTCTTCCCAACCTCGGATCTATGCTCTCAAGTACAGAAGCCTGTTTCCAGCATACGCAGACCCATTTGACCAAATATTGCTTTTCCACAGGCAGCTCTGGTTCCACAGGCCGCCTTCCACAAGTTACTTCAAGAAGGAAAACACCAAAAGCATAAACATCAGTTTTTGTAGAAGCTCCCATTGTTATTAGCTCAGGTGCCATGTAACCAATGGTTCCCACAGCGGCTGTTGCAGATAAGTTGGCTCTTGGGTCATGAAACCTTGCCATACCAAAATCTCCTAATCTTCCATTGAAATCAGAATCTAGCATAACGTTAGAAGACTTTATATCACGGTGCAAAACAATTTGCGTGGCTCCTGTGTGCAGGTAATTTAGAGCTGAGGCGATGTCCTTAAGAATTGAAATCCTTTGTAACCATGAAGGAGATGGGTTTAGGTCATGAAACAAGTACTGGTCAAGACTACCGTTAGGCATGTACTCAGAGACCAGAAGTAACTCACCTCTCCTTCTACAGTACCCAAGAAGAGGAACCAAGGTCCGATGCTGTAAACTTCCCATAGTCACAACTTCTGCCACAAACTGTCTCATTCCTTGCTCTGCATTGTGTGACAGTCTTTTCACAGCTATATGCTTACTTAGGGGCAGAACTCCTTTGTATACATCTCCAAATCCACCTTTCCCAACACAATAATCTTTCCCAAACCCATTTGTTGCTTTGTACAAAGACTTGTAGGAGAATCTATGTGGACCATATTCCTTTTCCCATGATTCTCTTACTTCTGCGTACTTGTTTCTCCTGTACCAATAAACTACTCCAAGAACCAACAGCACTAAGATCACCGATAAGATGACCAAACCAATCAGCGGTGGAGACAGAAGAGGAGGCTGTTCATCTCTAGGAAGAGGAGCCTTAGGGAGCTTAGAGAGGTTCAGGGTCTGTAATAATTCTTGGCTTCTGCTGAAACTCCAACCAAGTATATATTGGTTACTAGTCAATTGCCCTGTTGCTGCAGAGAACCCAACAAACATTTTATCTTGAAAGTATTTTGAAAGATTGATGGCCCTTGACATAAGAGGCTGATCTGGTTTCTGTACTTGTACAGGGGCTAGAGAAACATTAAGAGATGATCCATCATAATCCACCCAAACCTGGATAGGCAGCCCACTCAGGAGATTTATGCTTTCATTCTTACCTAAGACCTTGGAAAAGTAAGACGGGAGATTAGAATCAATAGATATTGGGCTGTTCACATCAATCCCAACATGAGGCTTTTCCAGCTCATCAATTCCTAATGACTCAATAGTATCAAGCTCAATAGCTATCAGCTGAGGAAAGGAAGTTCCATTTGTGGAGCTGCTGAAGACGCCCAAGTACTGAGCTTGAAGTGCATGAGAGAGATCCATGGAAGGAGATACAACAAAAGCCATCCCATGTCCACCACTAGTTCCCAACTGAAGAGGCACCAACGCACACACAAAATGCGTATAGAAGGCAATGGTATCAGATGGTTTAAAATCAAATGGCAGCTTGAAGAAAGCATGACCCATTTGAAACTCTGAAGCATTTGTCAACTGCAAAAGCCCATCAGGAAGGATTCTAGCGACTCCGTCAGTATAAAGATCTGCTTGACGGAAACCATTGTAAACAAACCCGGTTTCTTGTTGATCTGACAGGGAAACTAGATGAACGCAGGAGAAGATCAAAACTAGATGAAGCCTCCAAGTCATTACTATTGCAAAAGAAAAAAAAAAAAAAGTCTGCTCATAAATTCAAGAGCTCAATTTTAAACATTCCATGTCTTCTTGTACATTTTCTAACAATTTCTCCTAAGCAACTGTGACTCCATGAATATAACAAAAGAAAAATTACAACAAATACTTACCTCTAGCAGAAATATTTCATTCTTCTCCCGCAGGCAGGAATCTGAAAATCTCTGGTAATTCAGCAATAACTTAGGCAGTCTAGCTTCCCTTTAGCATTTCAAGATAGACATATAAACCAACTTTTCTTCCTCCATAAGTGCTGGATAAGATCTTTCAACCCAATTGTTTATGTTACTTTCCCAAGTAAATGAAACGCAAAGAAAATGGACCAAGTCACAGCAGAGTCACAATCTCTAACTCTATGGGACCAGTATTCACATGGAACAAAGCAGTCCATATCTAAGACTATTCGTCTCATCCAATTAACATCTTTTTGTTGGTTGGTTACAGCTTACAAGTGGTAGTGTTCAGTCAATTTCGAAAGAAAGAAAGATCGTACATTGAGTGGAAAAAACAATAATCACCCGATTACTAAAAAGTTTGAAATTTATGCTCAAGAAGCTAGCATGAGCCAATGTTTCATCCATATGAATGGCAGGTGATCTATGGGCTGAAACCTTTCTTTGGAAATCTAAGATTTGTGCGAAACCTGTATGATCTTCTCGAAAGCCATTACAATAAGGAGTTCCTCTCACAGAGAGGATCGACACTGGCACACTAAAGAACCAATCAAAAACTAATCATATCTCTTGGAGGTCTATGTTTGGAATTGTCAAGTTGGTGAAAGTCCATGCCGCATTTGATCCAACTCGTTTCAGAAGCTGGTTTTCCATAACAAACAACAATAGACTATTGCTGTAGTGTTGCAGTGAACAGTCTTGTACACCCCTAATTTGCTTGCATGGTCGAACTTTGACAAGGAAAAATACTTGGGTGGTCAAAAGACAAAGGACCGACCAAGTTTTGCCCACAGCAGAAATCCTAGGACCAGCGTCTGTGACAATAAACCGATGCTCACCCTTATAGCTGTACATATGAGATAACCTACAAGTTCTTCTTCAACAGTCTGTCCAAAGAATGCACACAGATCTCAGCTTGACACAAAAGAAAATTACTCTGTCTCAGTCGCTCAGAGTTATTTTCTTTAAAACAAGGATAAGCATCTTGACTAATAATGAGGCCCCGGTAACAAAACTCTCAGTTGTTCTCAAAGTAAAGCTTTCTATTAGAGAAGCTCATTCATCTTCAAGTTTCAGCAAGTTTGCTTTCAGAAAGGAAAACTTTGAAGAGAAGGCCATGACCAGCCATTGTTCCACTCTAGAAACAAAACAAAACAAAAAAAAACTTGATCCGGAAATGTCTTCTACTTAGGATTTATTAATAGTCAGAGCTTAGGCTTGAGTCTTTTCTTCTTCTTCTTCTTCTTGCTCTCCGTTTCCTTCATCTTCAACTTCAACACCTAATGACAGGTTTAAGTACTCTTGAGCGTCTTCTAGTGCAGATTCATTTGCATCTGTTGCATACAGTATCTTCTTCACTGCTACTACAACCTGCGTAGTGGTTAAAGGACATACATCAGATTCAAAAACAAATAATCTGCACAAAAGTAAAATATATTTGTGACAGCAAGAGAACAAAAAATGGTCTAGTGCAGGGTGATTTGGAAAACATTTCTTTGGAGCTGAGAAAAGAAGTTGGAGGAAAAAATTAAAGCCAATCAAGACAGACTGAGCTAAGGGTGATTGAACAAAAGAAAGATCACAGGCTCTAGAGAAATGTTTACCGGAAGATCCTCTATTTCAGGAGTTTGGCAAAGTAACTCAACATCCCGGAGCTTGGAGAAGTAAAAGTCTCTTTCTTTTCCCAAGAGATCATAAGAGAGCTTGAGATCTGTAAGCTGTAAAGCAGAAGAGAATAATTTAGTTTCAGTTACTCATCAACATACAAGAGGAAAGGGGTTATATACAACATATGTAACAGCCATAATATAGATTATCAAGAGCGATAGGATCAGTGGCAGTGTACCTCCTTCGACAAAGCCTGCACTTGAGCTGTTTTTACTGGCTTGGGCCCTGAAATTAATGAATGTTTAGAAAGATTCAAATAAAAGAATTATTATCGTTAGGATAAAGAGTCTGTTTTTATGTCATGCAGACCTGTGGCTTTGGTTAGACCAACCGAACTGGAATTGGATGGAGGATGGTTATCGTTGGTTTGCAGTGACTTTGGCATCTTATTAGATCCCTTTACACTCCTCTCTCTACCACCTTTCGATCTTCGTTCCACCGGATTATAGTTCCTACAAGAAACCATCGGTTCAATAAACTTGATTATTTAGCAGATACATTGGAAGGGCAAGAATTCGAAAACTCTGACAGATACATACTCGTTCATAATGCCACCATTGATGGAATCGCAGTAACGTTTAAGCCACTGCAGAAACTCCAAGTTATCCAGTGGTCGGCCTTTCACAAGCCTGTTAATCTCCAGTGGCTGAGGTAATTTCACAAGTCTGTTACTAGAGACCAATAATACAGGAAAGCTGAGTAAAATCGAGACATGATTAATCCATTTACCTTTGTAACTTTGAGCTTGTTGAACACATCTTGCAGGACCTTGTAGTTTTGTATCATATCGTACTCGTTCTTCGCATCAAAGTTAACCTTGCAAAGAATCATTTTTGAGATATTAAAGTTGCCAAGAAGCAAACTAAACATGCAAATCAAGATTAAAAAAGTAGAATCATACCTTGTGCATTGGCACAACTCCAGGAAAGGTCATATCAAGCATCTGACATTGAACAGCACCAGATGCAGCCTAACAAAATACCCAGATAACAAATTACTTAAGAACAAAGACAAGAGTCTCACGAGACATACACAAATTAACTTCATTACAAAAAAAAAAAAAAACAAGTAAGGCTCTTTGTAACAGCAACATTGAATCTACTATGTGCATCGTAACTTTGAACACTCTAAAACCATCAAATGCATTAATCTCACAGTAATACTGAAACTTTGTTAGCCAGTTGTAATAAATCAAATCCAAATCTGCAATTTCAAAACCTCAATTATCAAGCAAAAATCAAGACTTATCGAAGAAAACTCCACTTGTGGTGAATCAATGTGACTATCATCCACCAGAGACGCGTCGATGAATAAGCAAAGAAGAAGAAAGAGGAGAAAGGTGACATGCAAAGAATGATAACCTCTTCGACGCGAGAGAGATTGAGGTGAAGGCGATCGTTGATCCAAGTGAGAATCTCGTTTCTCCCTACGAAGTAAGCACTGTCCATGATTCCGATGCTCGCCGCCATTTTCACTCTGCTTTGCCTCTAAACCTCCGAAGAGAGAAACTGAAGCAGAGAAAATAGCGGAGAGAGTGAGAGAGAGAGAGAGAGAGAGAGAGAGAGAGAGAGAGAGAGAGCGTAACGCTGGCAGCGGCAAGTTGTAAAGGTTTTGCAAATTTATTTCTTTTTATTACATTTATTCGTTTCTATTGGCGTAGGATGTTTATGTGCGATTGTGATGTCTCAACCCGTTTTTATTTGATTTAAATATACACTTTTGGTTTCTGTGTTAGTATTTTCAAATAATATTTTCTATAAATCAATATTTCTTTCTTTCTATATAGATTTACACTAATTTGTTTCTTTGGGAAGCTCTCGTCACATTAGAACATTTCCACTGTATTCCTCTACTTTACCTCTAAAATATAATATTTCTAAAATGGAGCATTTCTAAAATAGAGATGTATTTTTTTTCCAATATATTCTTCTTTTTTACCTCAAAAACGATTATTCTCAAAAAAATCTATTTAAATTTTACAACCAATACATTTATTTATGAAAGTTGGTAATCAACCTTATTTACTTTTAATTTTAAAATACTTTCTTAAAATTATGACTTTATTTAAACTTACGTTTTCATAAAAGACTATTACGTAAATAAAAAAGTAACTCCATGTTTATTAAAATAGTATTTTCAAAAATAATAATTATTTTGGTTAAAATTATAAATGTTTAAGTTAAAGGATTATTTTGTAAATAAAAATATGACTCTAAAATAAATAAATACTATTTTTTCCTCTATATTTAGAGAAAAATAACAATCTCTATTTTAGGAAAAAATAGAAATGGGTTAGAATTTTTTTTTCTTTATTATAATATTTAAAGGTAGAAATAACGATGGTTAGAGATGCTCTCAGATATGATTGCTCTATATTTCCAATCTTTTTAGTGTTGGCTCTGAATGGTTGGGCATCCTTATTTGTTACTAGGCTTAAGTTCTCTACTCGACTTGTATATGCTTTTGAAAATTTAATTACTTGGTGTTGTAAGTCAGACAAATTTTATTACTTGCAAGACCAAGTCAAATATTAAATATCATCATATTTTTAGTATTTAGTTTGTTTTTCGACCGTTACGTGTTAGTTATTACATGATTTATTAAATCTTGTTAGTTACTAATAATATTTATCTTTTACTTTGTTTGCATTTACAATTGAACACAAATGCTCGTTACTTTTTTTAATAGGTTCATGATTAAAGAACAACCCTAAAATGCTCTTGAGAGTCGATCTTGTATTGATTTGGTGATGATGGACCCGGTTTTGACTCGGATGGATAAATGATCGAGTGTGGTTTGACAGAAGGGGAAGATGATCGATGGTAGATATTAGACCCAATTTCGGCACCTATCTCAACAGGCCCAGGCCCATCTAGAGTGATTGCTGAATCGACGTCGAGCCGGATCCTACAAGGTCCAGGATAAGATTCCAGAGATCGCGGAGACGGTTAGAGGACAAAGGAGCTATAAAAAGAGAGTTAGGAAGGACATTCAACACACGAGAAAAAACATAGAGCTATTCACTAATCACATCGACCTCATTCCTTAGATTTCTAGTTTTCTTTCTTGTAATCCTTGTTGTTACTTCCAATCTTGTTCATCCCCTTGTAAACAAATTCGACATTCAATAAAAGTCCATTTTTGTCAACCGAATTCCGATTATATCGTTGTGTTTAAGAACATCATTGCCTACTTCCTTTGTCTTCCCCTGATTGAATCTCGATTTCTACAAAATACTGAGTGTGGATTTTAGGATCTACATTTTGGCGCTGAATGTGGGGATGATAAACGAAAAATGCCATTGCTAAGAACCCGATCTAGGATTTCTAAGCATGATTATGAATCCCAATGCGAACAACCCCGATACCATTCGATCTGGATCGATTGACACCGCTCCCACCGGAAACTCTCTGGAGACCACTCAAGTACCCATCGACCGAGTAAACATCACCGAAACCGCCAACGTGAACCAAAATCAACAGACTCCGCAGATCGGAACCTCGATTGCCGAGAGGTACAACCTCATATCGAAACCCTTCTAATGATCGAACTGGATCTCGCGTATGGAATCCTACAACGATTCCCGATGATCCAACCAGAGCAACGAGACCAAGGTCTCTGACCCAGTTAGCTCGAACTCGAGACGAAGTGGCCGAAATGAGAGCTATGCTAGTCACACTCATCGACAGATCTCGCGAACAAGAGATCATTCATCGAATAATTACCAGTCGTCTAGAACAAACCAAGAGAGAACTTGCTGAGACCCGAACAAATCCGAGATAAAGAATCCGACAGCACTCGGATCCAACCCTCCAGACGTCACTACCTCGAAACCGGGGAGCCTTCGCCTCCCCTGAAGCGGTCAACACTCGATCGGGCCGTTATGCCGGAGAAAGCTCGCGGCAAACCCAACCTGAAGGAACGATCTATCGAAGTCTGGACTAGGATGGTCAAGGTGAAGTCGAAAATGGAACACATGGTATCAGAACAACCCCAATCTCGTCTCGGAGTAGGCCAACAGAAACGACCCCACCGCAACATCGAACTCGAGATGACCGATTCTCGTTCGGGGATGACGAATTCCAATGAACGGGACCCGCAGTCCATCCACACCCCGCCTCGGCATACGACCCGTTCAGATCAATGCACAAGAACCTGCAGGAGGATGACCAAAGGTCCCCAAGCTAAGCAGGAGCATTCAAAAGTTACGTAGAAAAGAACGATGCCGAGCTCAAAAGGATACATGCTATCTTGCACTTAACAACGAGCTTGGCCCCCGATATTGACCAAGTCATCAAGGAGACCCGCCAAACTCCATTTACAAATCGAATAACCAGTGTAAGGTTACACGACGTCGGAAAGATCAAGTTCCCCCCCAATACTCGGGAAACTCTGATCCGAAAGCGCACGTGCGGACCTTCCGATTAGCCGTATCGAGAGCGCATCTCAATGATGAGGAAAGAGAGGGGGGCTACTGCAGCTTCTTCGCCGTGAACCTCACAGGTCCGACCTTAGAATGGTTCGCCGGGTTCAAAGGAAATTCGATCGACGACTTCACCCAACTCCTATCAGCATTCATGAAGCAGTATTCAGTGTTTATTGAGACACGTGCCAGTGAAGCAGACTTGTGGAACCTCAAACAAGCGACTTTAGAACCTCTAAGGACTTACATAAATAAGTTCAAAGAACTAAAGTCCAAGATATCGAGCCTAAATGAAGTTGTTGCGCTGGTAGCTCTGAAGAATGGGGTCTGGTTTTCTTCCAAGTTTAGGGAAGAAACGACGGTCTGAGCTCCCACTTCGCTCGACGACGCGTTATATCGCGCGTCATACTTCGAAACCCTCGAAGAGGAGATAGCGGCCTTAAAAGAACAGTACCATGCCAACAAAGGAGTAATTAAAAAGCCCAGTACTCCGAAAGAACAAACCACCAAAGGACAGCATTCCTACGCCATAGACTCATCATCGCAGAACAAACAGTCGGCATTCGACCCAAGCAAATACTTCTCCTTCCACAAACGAAAAGGGCATTCAAATGAAGAATGCCGTGACGCACTCTGCAGTAAGGAAGAAAACAAAGAGGGCGGAGAGAACGCATAAGAAGAAGAAGAGACCCCGACGACCCCAAAGGCAAAGAACAACGGTAAAAGAAGTAGAGAAATCGGACCAGCAGCGCCAGAATCACCACCTCCGGCCCCAAAGAGAAGGGTCAACATGATCTTGTGGGGATCCGAACATAAAAAGCACCAAATCAGACCGAAGAACGTGTAAACATCGATATTACGATGACGATACAAGGCCCGATGGAGGTCGATACGACATGTTTTCCTCCCTTCATACAGAAAACCAAACCTTGCCACGAGCCCAAATAGAGCAAAAACTTCAGTAAAATCCGAAGAGCACTGGGGAAACCGATACCTAAGAAACAGTACAGCCCGCATTTACTCAAACCCAACCTGTCCGGGGGGGAAGGACACTACCAGTCGACACTGACCAAAAAAAGGAGATTCCCGACGCACCACCAGAAAAAGGTAAAAGAATCGATTTTATTTATGGAGGATCAAAGTTTTGCAATTTAGTCAATTCCATCAAAGCCCACCAACGAAGAGCGGAAAGTAGCGCCGGCATATGAGAACCTCTGTCCAGCCCCGATCACGAAATCACCTTTGATGAAAGCGAAACCGACGACCTCGACAGATCACACGACGACGAACTCGTCATATGACTCGACGTCGGAGGATGCGAATTGTCTATAATCATGGTGGATACCGGAAACTCTGCAGACATACTCTTCTACGATGCATTTCAAAGAATGAGATTCACAAAAACACTCCTTAAGCAAGAAAAGACCCCCCTAATCGCATTCGTAGGAGAGACTACCTTTTCTCTCGGATCCATCAAGCTCGCCGTGACCGCCGGAGATGTCAGGAAGATCGTCAAATTCATTGTAATAGATCGACCTGCCCCATTTAACGCCATCCTCGGAAGACCATGATTATACAGCATGAAAGAAGTGCCCTCGACTTACCATCAATGTCTGAAGTTCCTTACACCAAGAGGAATTCAAACCACAAGAGGAAGCCAAAAAAGTTCCAGAAAATGCTACCTATCGAGCTTCAAAGACATCGAGCCGAGTCCATAAGATCGACGAAGAAGCTATAAAGAGAACAAGAATTGTACTCGCAGGCACGAACAAATCGAAAAACATGACCCAATCCACCGGGAAAATAATCAAACTACGTTAGACTTGATCCCTTGACGAGGGTACGTAGGCAGCTCACGATTGGAGTTCAGTCACTCCCCTCAAACAAATCTCTCACGAAGAGGTCAAACCCAGAAAGGAAAGTAACCTATCTGTACGGACACACTCCTTCTAACATATGATGTAAAATTTTATACGAAAAAAATTATCTATAAACAACAAAGAAGAATACTTTCTCATCTTCTCAAAATCGATTTAACTGCATGAA